TACGATATACTTTCGTAGACTTTGGTTGCTTTTATTAAACAAAAGAATATTCTTAATGCTTCGTGTTCTTTGTTCTCTCTCGATTTTCTGGTTGTTTTATTTGATCGTCCTTCCTTACATCGTTTCGCAAACGGTAACCCTTTTCACTGAAATATATACGCAGAATTGTGTTCAAGTCAATAAACTCCTGAATTTTGCTCCCGTCTTCTTATTTAACTCAGTGATGCTAATACGACGAGACTGCAGCTTGACGTGGTGTGATGGCTTACGCGCTTCCATGACTATATGGAATGGCTCCTCACAGCCGCAGATCCGATCGTGTATGAAAGGTTAATGGATGGAGGCCAGATGAAGCTCAGTCTCACAAAGCCAGCTGCTTGGGCACCCCCTGGCTTCCGTTTACCATTCACTCTCGAACCCTAGAGAGGTCACTCCAACAAATAAACACAGGGAGGGGTAATCCACTGGTTAAAAAACCCGTTAGGTGGACGTAAGAACAATTCCTTCTGATGCGTGAAGTGGTGAATATCATAGTGTGGAGAGGTGAAGCAGGCTACAGTAATAGGTGCAGTCTTCTTTGTTCAACTTAGTGTACTGGCTCAAGGAAAGTAGGCGTGTGTCAGGTAATTAAGGTGTCTGACGTCACACTGGATCACGGTCATCGACACTGTCTTCACTGATATTGGACCTCCCAGCACCAGCGTCAACTACGTAAATACTGTCAGTTAGTATCAATCCTCCATCTGAAGTGGAAGTTATCCGGTGATAACGTTATCAAATTATCTCCCCGGGGGACATGTTGGAATCCCACCACCACCGCCTGTCTTTCCCCAATATGTGTTGTATGGCAGCACTAATTGGCCGCTTCCCCCTTCCTGAAAATTGTATCATTGTACATTCAATGAAAAAGGAAGTAAAAATGAAAAATGTATAAGGCCCCCGGGTCGGGCGGGCTGTCTCCATCGGCTTTTAGGACTAGTGATCAGTCTTGGTTTTGTAGTTGACGAAAATCCTGCGCTCAGTCTAGGAGAGGGATCAACTGAGATGTGTGAATCGGCTCGCGAGAAAGACGACAGATCCTCTTGTAAAAAAACCACAGAGGGATTAGTTTAATGAATATTATCTCCAAACTTCTTGCTGATCTTATATTCCGTCGATTGTCTGCCGTCCCTGAACAGTGCAAGCACGAGAAACCAGACTGGTTTCAGACCTGGTCGAGGTTACATCGACTATTTCTTCACTCTGCCAAACTTTGGGGCAGCGGCATTCTTTTCATAGACCCTCCATTTTTTTTTCCTCGATTTAAAAGCGGATTTGGACTTCATCGACTGCTCTATACTCTGGCACTGCTTTTCCCTGCAGGGCATACTCGAGAAGTACACTTCAGTGCTGAAATCTCTTCATACTAATAGCCAAATCCGAATTCGAGTTTACGGCAATTTTTCGCCCCAATTCGCCACTGAAAGGGGGTTAGTCATTATTGTCCTGTCGCTCCTTTTCTATTTAACTATGCTATGGATTCGATTATGGAAACAACCCTAGCCTCGTGCAAGTATAGCTGCATCGATTTACTCCCATATGGCAGACTGTCCGATCTGGAGTATGCTTACGACATCGCGCTGCGAAGAGAAGATGCGGGTAAGTTGCAAGCTTATCTGGATAGCTTGAGTGCCAGCATAGCCATGCTCGGTAAGCGTTTTGCACCTTCAAGGTGTAAAATGTTAAAACAAAACTGGGTTGATCCAGCCTCTGTCCTCACTCCAACTTGGAAGTAGTAGATGAAGTAGATAAATTTTGCTATTTGGGTAGCTTTATCTTATTTGGCTA